AAGGCTTGGCCAGAGCTACTTTTTCATGAAGCATGATTTTTTTAAAAATTTTCATATTTTGATGCCTGACTCTAATAATGTCTCAGAAGCAGAATTGTGTCTAATTATCGTAAAGGTGTTCCGCAAACAAAAGTCAAGATTTGCTTTGGCGAAATCGACGAGGTCACAAATTATTCCTAATGGACCCTGACAAAATACGGAGGCCGGTTTTACATGTTGCTGTATGCATGTTGTGTACAAAGGTATGACTGCATGCACTGATTGTCTCATTCGCATTGTTTTTTAATTCGACAAATCTCGTTATGTCTAGCATTCATAAAAAAAAACTTGCTTGCCGCGAACAGGGAAGTGCAATTTCAAGCTACTGCCCGGGGCGAATTTTGGTTGCCCGCGGTATCATCGGGCAAGCGGGTTTATCGAGCCGGCACCGCAGGGTTCGAAATTCGGACTGAGAGAGAGAGAGAGAGAGAGAGAGATGGGGGAGAGAAAGAGAGAAAGAGAAAGGGTGAGAGGGAGAGGGAGACACACAGAGAGAGAATGATTCAATGAGCGAGAGAGAGAGTTAATAAGCAATCCTCACGTCTTTCCTCTAATTTACCTATTGACGTCCAAAACCTTTACAGAGACCCACCACCAACGCTTCCCCCTTCTCGCATTTCAGCCTGAAATTCCGTGTCTGACGAAGCCGCCGCGTGATGCCGTGAACAGGGGGCGCTGACGTCGCTGCGCCGGTTCGACAAGACTCGGCAGCACGAGGAGATGAGCAACGGCAAGCGCGACGACGCGCGGCCGGAGCCGAAGGTATCGCCACGGCAACGGCAGCCTCCTCATCCCGAATACGTCCTCATGAGCGCGAGCCCAGTTTAGCAACCTCGGATTAGCTTAGCACACATGCGAACACGCATTTGCGGAGTCCAAAACTATCCTTGATCGTACCATTGTGGCACGGCGCGTGTTGTTTTGCTCCATTTTCCCCGACGATGAAGATTTATTAGATTCGAAGCGAGGATGTCGAGTCGCATTGTCGTTTTAATTTCATCGTAATTTCGCTGTCCGATGCTCTGCAGCATTTTTCGGTTAAACGTTTTCCACCGAGCCTCACAGTAATTTTCCTATATTATACCTGATTAAATTATGAATCCTGAATCTTATAATTATGTATGTTACATATATATATATCCTTATAACCATGAATGAAAGCTGTTACAAAGCCGCGGCACATACATTGGTACGTTGCCTGTCATTACTGCAAAAATATTGAATCCGGATATATACTGAGTGAAAGCTGTAACAATGTCACTGTTACATTTTAAGTCGTACAAAAATTACCGTGAGTGTTGTGATGGGCCAGTAGAGGGCGCCAGCAGTCAGTTCTAAAATGGTATACATCTATTTATGGTCGTATCGATATCTAGTTAGTTATATAATTGTATCGTACGGATCTCTCGTCCTCCTCTCATGTTTCCTGCATGGTTTCTCCCTCAGGGAAAGAGCTGGAACCGAGACCGAAGGGAGAGAGAGGAGAGGAGGAGCAGAAACGAAGCAAAGTCGGCAGAAACGAAGGAGGGGCGAAGCAGCGATGCGGCCGGGCAAAGAGGAGGGGACGAGCGATCGGGACAGCGGGGAGGAGGTGAGCGCGTACGATGTATAGACGTGACTTTTGGCGAGAAAACTTCGGTTCTGTGTATCGCGTGTTGTCACTCAGGGGTTTCTCAAATCGAATTCTAAAATAGAACATTTAACCGTAACTCAGAAAAGATACTTCACAGAAGAACAGTAACAACTCAGGGTAAAAAATACACGGGAGCGATGAGCGATTCGCTCTTCAAACCTCCGAAATCGCTCCTGTGAGGCTCAAAATAGCTCCCGTTAAATTTTTGTCAAGAGCTATTTTTCCCACAGACTTGAAAAAGAGCTCCCGTGAAAAAAAAGTTCATTTTTTCCCCTGCAACAACGGTTTGCCAGTTTTTTTTATCCACACATTTTGTGGGCCACAGAGACTAGAGATTTATGCATTCACACGTCAACAGTAATTGGTATTAGTATGAGCAAGAGTACATAATAGAGAAGAGT